AGGACCAACTAACTCTTGGCTGGTCCTAGTAAATAGCTCTGAATGTCAGCCAGAACTTACATGTGTAACTGAAACTTTGTAAAGGGAGTCTTTTAAATCTGAATATCTTTATGAACATGTTCATCTTTTGGATTTTCACTGTAATTGAATCTGTGTTCAGGGTACCTGTGTAAACCAGACCCTTTATGTACAAAATGGTTTAAAACATTAAAACAATGTAACGTTGATTGTCGTTTTAGAATTTATAGCCAACAAAACCGAGGAACATTTAAACATGGAAGTTAATCAATACTATATATGTTAACCATTTAACTATTATGTAATGATAATCTTAATTGATTATTTGAATGTTTGTGCATGTCCCCTGCATTGATTCAAAGTCACCTTGTCAAATAAATAACCAATTCAAAGATATGTCTTCTATATGTTAATGAGATGGCATATGTCGGCAAGCGTCACGGAGTTAAAACAATGTTTGGAAAGTAGTTTACAATTTATCGTTAATCCTGAGGAAGATATTATCACATAGGTATACCCTGTAATACTGTGACACTGATATTGATCACTTCAACTAGCATTACCATTGAGAAGTTACTAATTTATTTTCATTTTGAAATAAAACCTTATGTTTGTGGTTATGGATTGGTGGTATATTCATTGTTCTTTTACATGAATAAATGGTATATTTATCAACTTACTGACTAAATTGGTTGCATTGACACTTTAACAACTTAAAGAATGACTTTTGGAATGTGATGTAAATAACTGTACTATAGGGTTGATTAGGTGTACCTGTTACAATTTACCTGTACTACCTTCAACACACAACAGGTAGATTCAGGTACGGCTAATTAAGGCAAATGTTCTAGTACAGCCTTCAAATGCCCAATTTGTCAATCACAATGACATTCCTTACAACTTTCTAAAATTGTCCTTCGGTAGACAATGGTTGGATGGTTTTTAAAGGTGTGTAATATGTATTACCTTAATTTGATTTTAATTTTAAAGGAAGGAATACTAATTTTAAAATTTAACAATTTAAAGTAAAATATGGTGAAACTCATCCAGAAAACAGAACATTTGATTGTTAGCTAGTGTTTATAAGTCTTTTTCATCTATTGGTATATTGAACGTGTAACAATAAGTAGTTCAGGACAGTATAATATGCAGTGGTATGATTTTCTCACAGGCATATCAATGTTTTTACTGCTGTGAGATATCACTGTTCAATTCAAGAGTGAAAGAGTGGTGGGGGAGGGGTGATAGGAGGAGAGGTTGGGATGGGGTAGGTTTGGTGTTAGGGATCAGATTCTCCAGTAATATTAACTGTGAAGTCACAGCAATTTGGGGGATCTAAACTCAGAAAGACTCTTAAGCATCCAAACACTCAGTAAGCCTCATGTTTACCTATCTATTTCACCTCTTTATAGGTGAAGGATTCTATAAATCCTTAAAAGTCTTTTGCTGTGTAGTAGGAAACCAGGGGAATGGAAACTTAAATTTCTGTAGCAAGCATTTATTGAACCTTAAATGATTTTCCAAATGACTGGTTTTTCATAAGAAGGACTACCTAGGAGATCTCGCATTTAACATATTACAGTTAACTGACTTTATCATAACTTACAATATATTTTTGCCTGGCATCATGGTTGGTGTATGAAAACTACACCATTTCCAATCGATTTTGTTTTTAATCTGATGTTACCTTACATGATGTCGATGGCTTCCAAGGCTAATACTCTGATTACTATAGGAAATGTGATGGCTCTCGGGGATAACAAATATCTGACAGGATGACTAGACAGTATTGGAATATTGGCCATTTCATGTGTATGTTAAAAACGGTGCATACAGTATTGTATATTGTGTCCTAATCAGTCCATTGTTGAATGACAGGCAAATTGCAGTCTGCTAACTTTTATATTTTCTGTATAAAATACTTTAAACAGAAAAACGAATTTGACTTATCCAATATATACTATCATTTTCCTTACCTATATATCCCATAATATTTTTGTTTCTTTTTGCAAATTTACTGAGTTGACTTATGATAAAAAAGTTTCGTGTTTTCAATCCTTATTACATATCAAGTTTATGTAAAAGTCTGATACATCACAAGTATAAATATACAAGGATCTACACACGTATGCAGTGAACATGTTGTTTATATAACGACATACCTGACAGTCTGCCAACTCAGGTACATACAAATCCTGACATTGGTATTTAAAGCACCTGTCATTTGATATCTCTGACCAATGTGGAGTTTATTTCTGTCGATTCCAATACCAAACTATCTAATCATGTTGGTTTCTCTCTGAATGCAGTGTTCAGGAATCGTATTAACGGGTCTCGGTGATATTGTACTGATGAGTGGGTAAACCACAACCTGTCATTACTCAATAGCTTGGGACCGATCAGGATCAAAATACTCTCTTATAGGTCTCTAATTATCCGGCTTTGAAATTTTTTTTCTTCTTACAATTCAATGGAGAATTTCAATCTTTTTATATACAGAGATGGGATTCTAACTTAGAGTCAGACAATATAGTAATATGTTTCAAAGTGTTAAGAATATTATCACTAGTGGATCAGTGTGTAGGTCCAGGGTAGGTAAAAAATAACATAAGATACAAAGTACCAGGTTTTTATACAAAAGGTCAGACAATATTGTAATATGTTTCAAAGTGTTAAGAATATTATCACTAGTGGATCAGTGTGTAGGTCTAGGGTAGGTAAAAAATAACATAAGTACCAGGTTTTTATACAAAAGGTCACAAGGGATGACACATTCTTTCTAATGTTTTTGTGTTACACATTTTAATGCAGAAACCTTTTAAAGAAGTCTCAAGTTGTCTTTCTGATATGTTTCATTTAATTACAATCTCATTTAACTTATTATTCATTAAGTCTAAAGATTTAACTTGGTGATTGAAGAAAAGAAAAAAACATCGCTAGTGTAGTCATTGATATACAAGAAAACCAACAAAGATATAAAACAGGATCCTGGATAGTTTACATGTAGGTAGATTAATCTTTCATCAAATATATCTAGGTAAATGTATTTTTCACAAAGGCTAGTGTGAAGTATATGTGTACTTATGTCAGCTTTTGTAAAGTTACAGGAGAACAATTATACACTGAACTATCAACTCTACTGATGTCTGAGGTAAATCACCAAGTGTTAAGAAAATCCGTTAATAAAACGCAACCTATAATGGACACTTTAATTGTCACTTCAGAGGGTACTGTTAAATTTCAAAGGTCACAGGTTCGAATCCAAGTCAACTTTTTGACCTCAATGTTCAAAATGTTACATGTGCTCAACCAGTGGGAGGGCTAATGGGATGTTTGTGTAGAATATGGAGGGATGCGTTTTATGTTGTGCTGATTTCTTGTCTTTTATATTTCAGTGTAACCAAGAATTACTTGATGTCATGGTCTGATACGGTTAAGATCATTTTGTGGCCAATAATTTTGTAAATATCCAAAATAAAGAAACAGTAGTCAAGTATACAAACTTGTTTATTTTGTGTTTCCATAGCAACCACTATAACACAGGATGTTAATCAAGGAGACACCACACAGATAACCTCTAGTGTGTTAGATTCACAGTGCTTTTTACCTGTAACTAACATTTTGAAAATTTAGATTCAGCATCATGTTAAGTTTGAAGTACAGCTTTACAAATCAGATGTAATATAAGACCTTACTTCCATTTCAGTATCATGTTTTATGTTTGCAATTAAAGAAAAAAAATCAAAGCAAAATATCTGAGTAAGACCTCGGACATTTAACTGCTGTTTTAATTGCCTCTCAATGGCTCCGTAAAATCCATTTTGGCTCTTTTCAAGCATTTAATGGTGTAAAATATTAAAGTATTGAGTTGTAAGGGATCATAAATTGCCCTATCTCTAACAGTTTACTGCCTGACCAAGTGATTTTCTATTGGTTCTTACTTCAGTTCATAATCATAGTTTTCTCCTACTGGCCAGCACACTGGTCAGTTTGGTGTGGTGAAGTAGCCTCGACTCGTCAATTGTACTTTGTAGTGGCTCAAGTAAGGAGCTGCAGTCTGTTACAGGTAAGTCAGAATTAATTCAGATTAAAGTTTCAGTGTGAATTTAAAATTGTTTAAAGACTTTATTCAGAGGACATAATCCAAATTTAAAGTTTAATTCTATTTTACTAAAGCTTTAAAGCACTAAGTGTATGTCCTTTTGCAGTAATCTTGTGAAGGGTTGCATTAAACAAATCTCGACCTCTGTATCTGCAGATATGAGACAGCTCCAGTAAATATAGCCTGGAATCTGTTTCAGGTAATTGTGTGAATGAAATCTTTTTAAGTGTTTTTATGTGAATTTAAATGTTTAGGGATACAGAATGCAGATATACAGAGGCCATCAGGCTAATTAATTGGTGCTGTAAAACACATTGAAGATATTTGTGATATACAGCAATCCTTGCTGTCGTTGTACATTCTTCTTGCTGACTCTAGTATCTGTCTGCTGTAGAGTGGTGGGCCTGTGTCTCTGTGATCCTTTGTAAACAGTAAAGGATCAACTAGGACCGTGTGGGACTTATATCACCCAGATCTCTGACAGATACACAGATTCTGTCCTAGATCTATAACAGACACATAGATTTCATGTCATTTGTTATATATCCTGTCACATATACTTCACAGGGGGCATATATTTGGACACCTGTCTGTGTTGTATATCAGCTGTACTTTCGTAAGCTGTTTCCTCGACTGTTGTAAACTGTATACATATTTGGACACCTGTCTGTGTTGTATACCAGCTGTACTTTCGTAAGCTGTTTCCTGTACTGTTGTAAACTGTATACATGCTGACAGGTGTTTGTGCACATTTTATTGATGCAATTATCTTATCTACAGTGCACCACTGCCAGTGCAGCATTATTTTTCAGCTTTCCTGCAGTATTGCTCCAGTATATTTCAGTATTGAACCAGTTTCAATGCAGTACTGCTTCAGCTGATGACTGCCATTCCTGCAGTACTGCTCCAGCTGATGACTGCCATTCCTGCAGTACTGCTCCAGCTGATGACTGCCATTCCTGCAGTACTGCTCCAGCTGATGACTGCCATTCCTGCAGTACTGCTTCAGCTGATGACTGCCATTCCTGCAGTATTACTCCAGTATAATTCAGTATTGTATTTGGTTCAGTGCAGTTCTTCTCTGTCTTGTAGCTGACTGGTTGTATGACTCAAGCTGCATATTGAAAACAAATTAAAAAAGAAAAGAAAAATAGATTAAAAAAAAATATAGAAAAAAGTAAGGTAGGTGATGTCTGTGAAACTAGATATACCACAATCTGTTTTATTTATCATGTATGAAATTTGATGACTGCCTGAAGTCTAAACAGTATTTATTTATGTACAAATTAAAGAACCTAATGAAATAAGTTCACCTATTTCTCTCTGTGTTCACATAGATGTAGACCAATATTTTCCATACACATCAATTCAAATCTTTTATCCATTGTGTTTGTGTATTGAAGGGCCACCTCTGTCATAACTCACCAACATTCTTACCTTAAATACATGTGTATGTGCTGGGACATGACTTTATCTATCACTACCACCCAATCACTACTTGCGCATGGTGTTGAATATAATGGTACTGTGATGATCACTGTGATGCTGGTTATCAAATAATCACAATTTAATATCCCCATAGATCCATTGTTTCTGTAATATAAGACAGTCTAAATCTCTATGATCTCTTACTGATTTTTGCCAGACTTGATTTGAATACTTTTGTAAAATAGATGTCCCCAGATTTAGTGAATTGTTAGTGTGGCAAAGTTGATCTATTTCTATTTAATCTTGACATAAGTACATGAAAAATGTCTGACAGTATTGCAATATGTTTATAACTTCTTACTCATTAACACCACTTGATTTTACAACATGATAACATGGCCTAATCTCTGGCCAGTTTTGTTTGGTTACCATTACATCAATCCATTTTACAAGTTCCATTTAGAATCTGACCTAAATACATTACAAAAAGAACATGAAGAGAATGCTGTACTGTAATATTTTCTTCAAATTATGACTGTTTTTGTTCTATATAATTACTGATAATCATGATTGTTATTGCTAAGTGGCACTAAGTTCATAATGCCAATATCGAACTTGATTAATTCCTGAGCCATCTTCATGTTTCTTCACCGTTATCTAATATACTCATCTTATCAAATTTATTTCTTTTACGAAATTCTCCACCCTTATTCCTAGGCTTTGTCTTGTGAACAGCAAACACACTTCAGAACACCAAGGTTAAATTTTAACTCCAAAATAGGATGAAAATACTGTGTTATATAAAACGAAACAGAAAGTGTGATGTCACAGAAGGATTGATTTAAATTAACTCTCACATAAAGATGATATGTAAAGGTAATATATGAGGTTAACATATAGTTAATATGTAATGTAACATATACCCTTAACTCTTACTTAATTAGGTAAATAAGTAAAGGTAACATATACCCTTAACTCTTACCTAATTAGTCAATAAGTAAAGGTAACAGGTATCCTTAAGTCTTACTTAATTAGGTCAATAAATAAAGGTAACATATACCCTTAACTCTTACTTAATTAGGTCAATAAGTAAAGGTAACATACACCCTTAACTCTTATTTAATAGAGTCAATATTCAAAGGTGACATACACCCTTAACACTAACATGGACGTAATATGTGCACTTTGGATCAGAAACATCAGCCATACCCTGAGGCTATGACCTGATCTTGCCTTGTCACGTAAATTAACCAAGCAAGTCTGTCCCATTTATATCTATTGAAAAGAATCTTTAACAGAATGAAAACAGAACAGTAAATATTAACTTAAAGGTAAATGTGAGCTCTGTGTGATTAAGTATGTGGAAGTACTGACTGGTATGGATAGGGTTTACAGTTGCCTACAGTAATCACAGTTATACTTAATTAGGTGTCCTCAAAACAACAATGAAAAGTAGTATTTCTTAGATCTATATATTGAAATTATGTTTTCTAATTTTTCTGAAACTTGAAAGGTTCTTCGTCTATGTATATGTAAATATCTATGTATTTTCTAAACAATTTATTTGTCACCATAGACAGAAATAACTTGTTTTAATTACCAAACAAAATGTTTCTTGCTCAGATAAATATTAAAAATAAATGGTATCTATGGGAACAAACCGTGGTTGACTTGTTATTGTTTTTGTACAAGGCTGAATTTATTAAAGAGCTAATCAAAACAGGTCACAAAGAACTTGCAAAATCCTATCATTTCAATTTCAGTATGAACCATGTGCATCATATATACCCATCAGAATTAGAAATCAAGGATACACCAGACTCTTCTACATCAGCTGCTTACCTCTATCTTTTCCTATGGCGAAAACCAGTAGTGACAGATTTCCACCAAGCTATCTATGATAAGCATGATGATTTCAATTTTCCTGTTGTGAATTTTCCATTCTTGGATAGCAACATCTCTACATCCCCAACCTATGGTGGTTACCTGTCTCAGTTGATTCTATATTCTAGGCCTGTTCTCAATATCACTATTCTTGTACAAGATGTCAGCAACTGACAAAGTCACAACACAGGGTTTTAAGACATTCAGGTTAATGATGGGGAAGCCTTTTAATTGTTATAATTACCACATAAAGAAATATCTCTGTATGGTATTAAGCTGGATGTATTGGATGTTTGTTAGTTTGCCTTGTGGTTCTGTTGTTTACTTTGTTCTCATTTGCGAACATTATTTACATTACTTACATAAACTTACCAAGATTTACTTGGCGAGTGTTGTCGATGAAGCAGAAGGCTCTGACCCTTTCTGAAATGCCTGGTCTTATTCTCCTTGTACTTTTCAGAAGTCTACACGTAAATCTTTGTGTTGTTCATATTTTGCAAAGTTTAATCCTAGTTTTGTCTGAATTTGTTGATTTCTGAAAGGGGAGACTACCATTAATTACCAGCAAACTGCTGCATTATGTTTACACTTGTTGAGGAACCATACTAAAGAATAATGGAGCCTGGAATAATTCTACTCGGTTCTAATGGTCTGTCTCAGACAAAATAAAACTATGTGCTTGTCCTGATCCAAACTTAACATCATGAATTTATTCCTAGTTTTCTTTTGTCAGTCCCACAGGTAAAGTATGAACTTAGGAATAAAAAGCTTGATGAGTTGGTGAGCTAATATTTTACCAGGGTGATTCAGGGCTAATACTAAAACAGTAAATGTTTTATCTTCTGCTGAATATCAAAAGGTATACAAATGTCAGATGTCATTGTAGATAAAGGCTTCACTGTGATGTATTTTAAAGTTCCTCATCTTATCCAGTAATTTCTCAAACTTGTTTCATTTGAGAAGTTGATGGTATAGTCCCAGGTCTGTGTATTGATAAAGGAATATGTGACCATGAAATTGTAATCTTATCAATTTTCGATCACCGATCTATAAATCTGTTCGTAGGTCGTCTGTCCTCCCGCAGGTCAATACAAAGTCTTTTGTGAGAAACTACTCAAGTATTAGACAACAAACTTGGTCAATTTGTCAGGGGATTACTTTCGATTGTCACATCACTATGTGAGGATTTATTTATATAGAGTGGCTCTTTAACCTCTACCAACCTGGCGTCAGAACCAGTGAAAGACATATAACATGAAAGTGTGAAAGTTGTCAGCTACCTGTTACAGAGATGGTGGCCATAGAGTTACCTTATGAACGGAAAGACAAGGAGACAATTTCTCTGTCGAAGATCAATACATATCTGTGGTGACATGGACATTTCTGTAACATTTTATTTCAACAAACTACATAACAGTGAAGTATTAAATAGATGTACATTAGTACTTGACTGGATGACTATCACTCACTAGATAGTGTAGATTGTTATAAGGCACTCTGTATAGAATTTGGAGGATAGCTAACCATTACCATCCATTAGAATCCAATGCATTGATGTCTATTGTTTTACTGAGTAAAACAATCCATTGTTATTCAAAGCATTGCTTTCCCAAGCATATCTAGCCATTGTCTAGTTATAAACACACAAACTGACATTTAGTCAGAGATATTGTGTCAGTGACCCTGAAGCTTTTTGCATGATAAATATGGAGATTGAAAATCCTAGTTTCAAACAGAAATATTTGCCCAACATGTACAGCTTAAAACATTTCAGATTATAGATGTTAAATGTTTATGATGCCCTTGTGTTCAACAGAACCCTAAGTTTCTGGATCATTATTGAATGAGCTGAAGAGAAATGGAGACAAAACAAAGCCATGTTGTTTTATTAGATTTAAATACTTCCCACTTAGGAAACGCAATGTCAGTTTTTAGGTGAATTATCAAGCTTACTTAAGAGATAAAGACAACATCTTTTATATATCCCCAACATATTTTATTGGAGGAGAGGGGGTCATATTGTCTTACTCATGTCTGTTTGTTATTTTTTGAATCAGTAAAACATCTTGAGAATCTCTCAGCAGGTAACATCACATTCTACACCTTATTAGACTCTAGTTTACATACCCTGTGTGAGGCATCTTGTCTTGATAGACATATTCTAGCATTTTTTAGTATTTTTTAATTTGGAACTTACCTGGTGCAGGTGAAATAAATTACTGTTCACTATCTGCACTATGAACTGAATGTAGGACCTTTAGTTTATTACTCCTACTTGCTGTGGAATAAGCTAAATTAATTCTGTACACTTAAATTGATGGGAAGCAGCTAGAACAATGCAGATGGCATAAAAAATATCCTAAGTTCAAAATCAGCTTTTTATATTGCTTCAATGCATTCAGTGATAATCTTTGAAAATAAAGTTTCACATTTTGCCAACTTCAGTCAGTGCATTTGGAACTGAGTATATGAAAATTTATAATAATGAACCAAGGTCTTTTTCATACATGATAAACGAAATTTAGAAATATTTACAGGTGTATATCCCTACAGTAAGATAGTTTAGTATATAGATGATTAAAACGTCTAAAGCGTTAAATCTCGTCAGATAAAGAATGAATTATCTGCTGGAATGTTTACTTCGCGAGGCCACGGAAATACCGCAATCTACACACAGGTGAAACTTAAGCCATACAAGAATTCTAACTTAACATCTTAAATGGGAATGTTGAAAACATCGGTTTTAAACTTAGATGGTATTCATAAGGGACCATAATGTCTCAGATGAATGAGAACTCATTTTTTTGACACATTTGGATAAAAAATCTATTTTTGATAAATGATTAAATTGACAATTTAAAAATCCAGGTCTTGGGACAGCCAATATTGACTCTTGTCATAAACACAGACAATGTTATCAATCTGTACAGAAAATATTAAACCTCTTGGATACCAGGATCAATATTAATGAACTCTTTCTATACTCTAATATTTAATAATGAGACAGTAAACATGATTTATCAGCCGATATCGTTATAATTTTGACCTTATCAATGTGGAACGAATTCTAAAAAGCTAGGGAAAAGAGTCATGATTCCTAGATGATAAAAATTCTGGCATTAGTTTTTAAAAATGGTTTTCTGATTGTAGAAATTTTCTTTCTGATATTTTTTTGAAAATATACAGGAGCAAAATATAGTTTGTGAAAACTGTATCAACATACATGTACAAGTATTTGGATTAATTTTTGAAATAAATTTTGATAGTGAGTGTGAAAAGGTGTCTGTTATTGTATTATATCAGATGGACATGCTTTCTAATCCCAAATTATTTGGGATGTGTGTTCAGTTTTTAAATGTTTTGAAAACAAATTTTAAAACGTGACCTGTATGCTATTCATGTTTAAGCAAATAGACCGGAATATAACAGGTTGAGTCCTTTTAAAAAATTGACAGAAAAATTACTGTGTATCATAGTTTCTTACTCAAAAATTAAATAGTAGAAAAATACAAGGAATACATTTAAAATAATCTTTGATGTTTCATTCAGTCGAAGGTTGTTGAGTCTCAGGGATAATTACCGTCACTTGATTTATTTCCACGGATCTTCTATATAAAGTCTCAGGTTTAATTAGTGTTTATGTACACGTTTCACTGGATCCCAACAGATTAGGCTTAGTTATCTTTGCCTTACATTTATGTAATATTTCCTAATTTGTTTGTAAAAATTGTTCTATTTTTTTCTCTTTTGGGGTTCTAGTCTATGTTTAAAATGTTAAATACATGTATATGTATGTTTAAAATGTTAAAATACATGTATATGTATGTTTAAATTGCTTCTACAGTTTTGTAACTTGAAATTGAAGTACTGTTAAGCTAAGCTGATGGCTTGGCTCAATAAATACACAGACTTCAAACCTGTTCAGACTAGAAAAACTGGAAAATTAATAAACACACATTTCATAGTGTTGTTGTGTGATTTCTGTCTGTAATGTTTTAGGAGGGAAAGGAAGTATGTAGCATCAATTTCAAAGTGTTTTATTGGACAATGGAAATCTTCAATATCTTTGCATGAATTTAATATTTCATTGGTGAAAACCTGCCATATCTTTGCTTGGATTAAACATTTCATTGGTGAAAACCTGCCATATCTTTGCTTGGATTAAACATTTCATTGGTGAAAACCTGCCATATCTTTGCTTGGATTAAACATTTCATTGGTGAAAACCTGCCATATCTTTGCTTGGATTAAACATTTCATTGGTGATTTTTTCTAATGATTGATATTTGAACACTGGAATTTGGCTGAACTTGAAGCCTTCAGCTGATTAAAGGATTTTTTTGGGTTAATAAAGGAATCTGAGTTAATTTGAAGACACAGAATCCTCCTAAATGTGAAAGTACAGACTTACCAGCTTCTAACTACTGTGTTCAATTTCCCTCTATAATTACATGTTACAGAATGGGATGGTGAAGGGTCAACTGATTTCCAATGATGCTGATTGGAGTGATGAAGATGGTGTCAAATCTGGCTCAGCAACAGGTAAGGTCTTGCAGGTATTACATGTAAGGTAATACACAGCCATAACTATTACCTACATTACAAGTAAAATATGTAAGGTAACATACACCCTTAAGTCTTACACAAATTACAGGTATAACATGTAAGGTAACATGCACCCTTAACTCCTACACAAATCACAGGTATTGCATGTAAGGTAACATACACCTTTAACTCCTACACAATCACAGGTATTACATGTAAGGTAACATACACCCTTAACTCCTACACAATCACAGGTATTACATGTAAGGTAACATACACCCTTAACTCCTACACAATCACAGGTATTACATGTAAGGTAACATACACCCTTAACTCCTACACAATCACAGGTATTACATGTAAGGTAACATACACCCTTAACTCCTACACAATCACAGGTATTACATGTAAGGTAACATACACCCTTAACTCCTACACAATCACAGGTATTACAAGTAAGGTAACATACACCCTTAACTCCTACACAACCACAGGTATTACATGTAAGGTAACATACACCCTTAACTCCTACACAATCACAGGTATTACATGTAAGGTAACATACACCCTTAACTCCTACACAATCACAGGTATTACATGTAAGGTAACATACACCCTTAACTCCTACACAATCACAGGTATTACATGTAAGGTAACATACACCCTTAACTCCCACACAATCACAGGTATTACATGTAAGGTAACATACACCCTTAACTCCTACACAATCACAGGTATTACATGTAAGGTAACATACACCCTTAACTCCTACACAATCACAGGTATTACATGTAAGGTAACATACACCCTTAACTCCTACACATATCACAGTATAATGTGTAAGTTTATACTAATCCTCAATCTTGTACAAATCACAATCTACTTTGGGAATACTCTGAATGGGAACGATGAACCAAAGATGCAGTTACCAATCTTTGTGATTTGGAACAATTTTCATCAGACCTAAGATTTGGGAACATTGTTGAGAGTGTACGATTTATAGGGCTGAATGATTTCAGGTGTTTCTGAGGCTGAAAATGACGACTTGAACAAGGGGAAGCAGAAAGCAATAATCATGGCCAAGTCTCTCAATGGCAGAAAGTTTGATCCAGTCAACATCATTCTTGACAAGATTGATGCAGAGTTATCTTCTCTTGGTAAATCACAGTCGGTAAGTCTTATGTAGATAATTTATTATGATAAATGTGAATGTTAATACTCTTCTCTAAACAAAGTCATTACATGAAATATTAATTAGGTGTTTTTCATAATCTGTAGTGACTATTTTTTCTGGTTACAGGTAAAGTGATATTTTCTTGTTTTGTAGAGCTCAACAACAGGAAGCACAGTGTTACGCAAGCCAGGTTCTAGGTCTAAGGGTTCTGATGGATCTCGTTCTGGTTAGTATACACAATACAGATACTTATCCTGAACTGAGTTCAAATGGTTTGATTATTTGGAGGGTGTTGAGTTGGGGGTTGGGGATGGGGGTAGGGGTGGTAGGATTGAAATTAATTTTATTGAATTTCTAATGACTGATTAAACAGAAAAAAACTCATATGCTGTAAATCTTTTATTGTAGGTGGATCTCACAAAAGCTTGTCAAGTAAGGATGGAACAGACACAGGCCTTGGGACGGCCAGTATCCATGACAACCTGTCAGAAGGTGGGGACCTGCCTCGAATCAACGGAACAGCTGAGATATACAGCGACATTGGAGCTGTTACCACTGATCACTATAGTGATGGTAAACAACTTTGTAATGATTTCGCTAAACATGCTTCTGTTCAGCAGCTCAATGTCTCTTTTTTTCAAACACATATACTGAAAAATTCCTGAAAGGACAAATGCAAATACTTGTGCTCAACTTACTGTGTTGTAAATATTAAATGTAGAATTAAAATGGCTGTATTCTTTCTTTAAATGTATTTGTTATTTGCTAGCTATCAAATTTAGACCATGCAAATTCATTTTTGAAATACATATATAATATAAATATTTGTGATAGTCATCAAAATCAAGTGATATGAAGCATTGCCCACATGAAAATAAATGGCATTATTATATGTTGGATAGCTTAGAATATATAGGGGAAAATGTGATATTAACTGGAAATGACATTAACAGATGTGACATTAAGTGGGTTCCACTGTACATTTACAAATTTTGATCTTGTAAAATCATGTTGAATTTTAAAACGATTGCATTTACCAGAATGCTGAGTTTTCAAACGTTGTTTATGTGTAAACTTGACCAATACTCTAAATTACATTTCTTATCGTCTTTCACACAATATGCTATCTAGTATCTCAGTGTTACCTGAGCTAATTTACCTGTAGAAATACACACTTCACATGTACTGGAAATAACTCACATATTTGGTCAATCTCCCTGTATTCTGGTCCTGGAGATTACAGACTTATCATCAAGTGTAAATCCTGTTTTATCAGGAGGGTTTCCTTTGATGATCAACTATTGGAAGTGAGATCAGTACTTAAATCTTGATGCTTATTAATCAAACAAAAATAATAGAATTCTCCATTTTGGGTGGTTGTAGTTTAATGTTCACCTTTGACATGCAGGCTTTCACAAGTGAAAATATGAAATACAGATACTTATTTGTTCTGAAAAATCCAGAAAGCTTTATCATTTTTTAAGTATGTTTTAACTTCTGCTAGTTTGATATCTGTATCTGATAATAAATGGATAAGAGAAATTTTTTGACTTCTGTAGAAGGTAAATGTATACAGTGACGTTGTAAAGACCAGAGAATCGTGTGACAGATTTGTGTATTGGGGTGTGAGAGATTTAAGTCCTGTAATCCTTACTTATATAATCTATTCTGAGACTCACTTTTATAGCTGTTGTGGTATACCACCTATTTGTTCCTTTACATATAAATATTTCACAGACAAGAAGTAAACCACATACCGTTTTATTCTGCATGCCGTGAATAAATTTAAATCGTCCCTACAGAATGGATTTGAAGTATTCATGGTGGACCAGTGTATACATTAAATGTAATTCACTCTAGATTGGAATATACTGAAGGGCTGTATTAACGATTTGTGTACAAATAGGAAAAATGTTGTGAATATCATGTGTGTATTTACAAAACCATTAATGTGGATGTGAGATTGGAGTGGACTCACAAGGAATCATATCAATCAAATATATTTATATATAAACTAGATTTCTTATGTCTAGTTCACCTTTATGCTGTGACATTAGTCAGTAAGACTGTGGACAGAACTCTACCATCTATGACCTTTAAAACTTGGCACAAAATTTAATTTCTTTTTAAACCTGAGGACAAATTTGACTGACACATTTTTCTCATTGGATTACAAAGACCACTATGGTTCATTGATAAAATTAAGTACTTATTTGTATACTTTTAAACAGTCAAAAACATTCAGTGTAAAATACACTTGTTCATTCTTGTACTTTGCTGAAATGACAACTTTCAAGATTTTATCACATTTCGGATGTTGTAGACTCAGAAGTGGATTCTTTGAGATTGTCTGTGTATCTGCTTTGTGATGAGTCTGTAATAGTTTCAATTGTGTTGTACAATATGTACTGATATAAAGAGATCAATCTTTATTCGTACATACATAGTGTATATGTGTTAGTGTCTTATTGGATGTAATAAATAATATGGCCACTTATGATGGTTTGACAGAGGATGCTAAAAAAACAGGACCTCCAAGTGACCTTGACTCTGTCACAGCCCAGCAAGTTGATGCAAAGTTCAAGGCCATCCTACGCAAGAAAAAAGGTGAGACTTAGTTAACTTACAAAGTATCCTTGTTCATGAGATGAAAAAATTGTATCCTTAATATCTTTCTAATATATCACCAATTAAAGGAATTTGAAAATTTGAGAAAAATATTGCAGTTAGGAAGAAAAGATAATTTTTTTCAATTGGGAGGACATTTCCGTTTTCCTGTCATGACAGAAATCATTAGAGGAAGTGCTTATTAGTCCTCATTTTGAGTTGCAACATTTTTAAGTTCTTGAATAAGCATAACCTTAAAGATCTTTTAATAGGTCATACATTTGGAAGGCATGTATTGATAGAGTTTGAGGGAACTTTGGTTGAAATACCTTTCAAGAATTCAAATCAACTGCACCAAATGCAATTGCTGATGTTTTTTTCTAGTACCTCTCTACCTGTGTCTCTGACACCCTTGTCCTTCGCTCTATGTCTCTGACACCCTTGTCCCTTGCTCTGTGTCTCTGACACCCATGTCCTTCCCTCTTTGTCTCATACACTCCTGTCCTTCCTTCAGTGTCTCTGACACCCATGTCCTTCCTTCAGTGTGTCTGATGCTTCTGTCCTTACTTCTGAGTCTCTGACACCTTTGTCCTTACTTCTGATTCTCGGACACCTTTGTCCTTACTTCTGAGTCTCTGACACCTTTGTCCTTACTTCTGAGTCTCTGACACCCATGTCCTTCCTTCAGTGTTTCTGACACCCATGTCCTTCCTTCATTGTCTCTGTCACCCATGTCCTTGCTTCAGTGTTTCTGACACCCATGTCCTTCCTTCAGTGTCTCTGACACCCAAGTCCTTTCTTCTGTGTCTCTGACACTCTTGTCCTTACGCTGTGTCTCCGAGGCTCTTGTCCTTCCTTCTGAGTCTCTGACACCTTTGTCCTTACTTCTGAGTCTCTGACACCCATGTCCTTCCTTCAGTGTTTCTGACACCCATGTCCTTCCTTCAGTGTCTCTGACACTCTTGTCCTTACTTCAGTGTCTCTGATGCTCCTGTCCTTACTTCAGTGTCTCTGATGCTCCTGTCCTTACTTCTGAGTCTCTGACACCCATGTCCTTCCTTCAGTGTCTCTGACACTCTTGTCCTTACTTCATTGTCTCTGATGCTCCTGTCCTTACTTCTGTGTCTCTGACACTCTTGTCCTTACTTCATTGTCTCTGACATCCATGTCCTTTCTTCTGTGTCTCTGACACTCTTGTCCTTACGCTGTGTCTCCGAGACTCTTGTCCTTCCTTCTGTGTCTCTGACACCCTTGTCATATCTCTATATCGATGATAGTCTTGTCCTTACCTTTGTATTTTCTGTTATGAATTGCAAACCTATGGACACATGTCCTATTGCAGTTTGATTGACTGAAATCTTTTTAGGGTGAATTTCATTTTTTCTAGGTGGTGATGTATGTCACCAAAGAAAGAACAAACACTAACTATTAAGCTTGATGTAGGTGTCCTTGCCTTATGCATTAACTGAACTTAATCTATCTTGGATATTTGTATTGTAACAGCATACCGGAAAGGTCAGTATGATGGTGTTAGTACTGTGGGTAGCAGCTTATAGACCCAAGATTTGGTTGTGAGAATGACTGGTGGTGGTTTTGGGGCTACTGACTTTCTGACATCGGGAATATTAAACCTGGGGTTGTACTGTAAGGATTATAAAATGTACATAACACATGTATTTAATTGTGGATTATATTAGTCCTGCTGATCACTTTGACCAATCCATGTGGGATTAGAAAGTGTCAGCACACAGTGTGGTGTGGCAGTAAGGGAGAGTGAAATACCAACACACAGTGTGGTGTGGCAAGAAGGGAGTGAAATACCAACACACATTGTGGTGTGGCAGTAAGGGAGTGAAATATCAACACACAGTGTGGTGTGACAGTAAGGGAGAGTGAAATACCAACACACAGTGTGGTGTGACAGTAAGGGAGAGTGAAATACCAACACACAGTGTGGTGTGGCAGTAAGGGAGTGAAATATCAACACACAGTGTGGTGGAGCACTAAGGGAGAGTGAAATACCAACACACAGTGTGGTGTGACAGTAAGGGAGAGTGAAATACCAACACACAGTGTGGTGTAGCAGTAAAGGAGAGTGAAATACCCACACACAGTGTGGTGGAGCAGTGAGGGAGAGTGAAATACCAACACACAGTGTGGTGGAGCAGTGAGGGAGAGTGAAATACCAACACACAGTGTGGTGGAGCATTGAGGGAGAGTGAAATACCAACACACAGTGTTTGTTATATGCCTGTGTAGTGGATATCAGTAAACAGACATTGAATAACTTAAAAATATTAGTCCTGCAAAATTAAACATTTGTACATTGTATGTAATTGTGTGTATATGTGCTTTGGTATTGATGATTGGCAGTAAACATCCTTGTTGTTTATTATATATGTGTTGGTATTTGTGATTGGCTGTAAGAGTCCTTGTTGTTTATTATATATGTGTTGGTATTTGTGATTGGCTGTAAGAGTCCTTGTTGTTTATTATATATGTGTTGGTATTTGTGATTGGCTGTAAGAGTCCTTGTTGTTTATTATATATGTGTTGGTATTTGTGATTGGCTGTAAGAGTCCTTGTTGTTTATTATATATGTGTTGGTATTTGTGATTGGCTGTAAGAGTCCTTGTTGTTTATTATATATGTGTTGGTATTTGTGATTGGCTGTAAGAGTCCTTGTTGTTTATTATATATGTGTTGGTATTTGTGATTGGCTGTAAGAGTCCTTGTTGTTTATTATATATGTGTTGGTATTTGTGATTGGCTGTAAGAGTCCTTGTTGTTTATTATATGTGTTGGTGTGTGTGATTGGCTGTTAGAGTCCTCATTGTTTTCTATATATGTGTTGGTGTGTGTGATTTCTATCTGTGCTCTCTTTATGTGGAAGTGAACAGGTCAGAAAAAACTAAGAATAATGAACAAGAACAGATTGTCTTGGAGAAGTTGACATTTTAATCATCTCTTGATAAGATGTACTTATAAAGTGTTTCATTGAATCACTTTTGAGGTGTAGTCAAGGTATGAGTGACTGTGACAACCCATGATCAGTAATACCTTGAGTTTTTGTGTCCTAGAATTTACCCTGACCTTGACTTTTTGTATTATAGAATTTACCCTGACCTTGAGTTTTTGTGTCCTAGAATTTACCCTGACCTTGACGTTTTGTGTCCTAGAATTTACCCTGACCTTGACGTTTTGTGTCCTAGAATTTACCCTGACCTTTCCTTCTTGTGCCATGGAATTTACCCTGACCTTAACTACTTGTGATCATTTGGTCATAGTGGGCGTTAAAATGACTGATACTAAACTTTAAGACCATGACAGCAATAGTTCTCTTATGATGCTGCAGGTTTAGTTTCTAAATACTATTTGTTGTATAACGTACGTCTCTTCTGTTTCCCTTTCTTCTTGTGTGATGTGTTATTAACAGAATCTTAGATCTATATAGAATAGCTGATGAAAAGGACCCTAATAAATGTCATATTTCAGATAATGGCTTTTCCACTGAATTTTTTCAGCTGAGAGATGTTATCTCTGAATGTCTAATTTTAAATTCCACAGGTCAAGAGAAACAGAATCTCTTTGCAACTAACCCTATTTTTCAGCGACAGCAATAAGCCATTGTCTGATAATTATCCCTCTAATGTCTTTTACAATGAAGATAAATTCTGTTACATTGTCCTACAGTAAGGAACTCCTCTCCTGATGTTAGTGTTTACCTGCTGGGCTTATTTCTCATCAATGTTTTGCGAACATTTAGATTTGCATTTTCAAACAAAAGGGTTATAGATAGATGAGTTTCTGCGAGCTTGTAGATGACTGGAAATTTGTGACGGAATCCTGCAAATTTTGTTTATTGTCTTTCATTAAACAAGATTGCAGTAAAAGAGACTGGTATTATTTAGGTGTAGCACAGGTATCCATCTGGCAATTGGATTCTATTTAGGTGTAGCACAGGTATCCATCTGGCAATTGGATTCTATTTAGGTGTAGCACAGGTATCCATCTGGCAATTGGATTCTATTTAGGTGTAGCACAGGTATTCATCTGGCAATTGGTTTCTATTTAGGTGTAGCACAGGTATCCATCTGGCAATTGGATTCTATTTAGGTGTAGCACAGGTATCCATCTGGCAATTGGTTTCTATTTAGGTGTAGCACAGGTATCCATCTGGCAATTGGTACCTATTTAGGTGTAGCACAGGTATCCATCTGGCAATTGGTATCTATTTAGGTGTAGCACAGGTATCCATCTGGCAATTGGATTCTATTTAGGTGTAGCACAGGTATCTATCTGGCAATTGGATTCTATTTAGGTGTAGCACAGGTATCCATCTGGCAATTGGATTCTATTTAGGTGTAGCACAGGTATCCATCTGGCAATTGGTTTCTATTTAGGTGTAGCACAGGTATCCATCTGGCAATTGGTATCTATTTAGGTGTAGCACAGGTATCTATCTGGCAATTGGTTTCTATTTAGGTGTAGCACAGGTATCTATCTGGCAATTGGTTTCTATTTAGGTGTAGCACAGGTATTCATCTGGCAATTGGTTAGGGTTATGTACTGTAAACATACTTAATTTTAGCTCAACTTATTATTTTATGGCAAATTAGTGCAATGACAAACCAGCACATCCAAAATGTTTGCTATATAAACAAAATACACAAACTGTACTTAGTGCAATTATATACATGTATGTTAATGCAATACTTTCAGCACAAAAATGCAAAGATAATGTCACCACTAAAATATGTATGTTTACAGTATCAGGGACTAATAAGCATACTGCAGTAAATGCTTGAACAGACAAAATATATGGTTACAGTGTCTGAGGTTGAAAGATTCTAGGATTGTGGGTGATTTTATAATTTTATTATTTTCTGTGTGTAACTATATTGTCTGCTTCTTGACAGGAAAATAATTAATATTCTTTAACAAAACAGATTGTTATCTAGGTATTGTTATACAACATGTAATTTGAGCAGTTATGTTTCATTTCTTTGCTCCCAGATAGAATCACACTTCAAACTGAAAAATGTAATCACAGTTTCTGTTTGTTGTTTGTTTAGCAATTAATTGTGGATAAAGAAATTTTTCATTTTACTACTTGACCAAAAAAGAAAAAAATTCTAAAAGTACATTGTGTAAAATTTAAGTTCATTCAGTATTGTCTGAATTTTAGATGGTCAGCGTACATTTGGAATGCCATACGTGTGTATATATCCCAGATGTTGAATTTGTGAGAGGTTAAAGTGAAATTGAGCTTAAATAATGTGTTGTGACACATGATTGAATGTTCTTATAAGATAAACATGTTGTTCCCAGTATCCCTGTGTCCACCAGTACCCTGGTACATTTACGATATTGTTTGTGTATCTGTTGTGTGTACCTCATCATTATTTATGTGACGGTAGATTCTCTATGAGATATACTGATTTTGAAGTTAATTACCTGTAAAAATCAATGCTTCTGGTCTCCAGTGTATTGGTTTGTATTTATAACTATGCTAGAATGTCTGGAGATCAACGTGGTCAGACAGGAAAACATGTATTATATAACACATCATCATATCCAGAGAATATGTTGGAGGCCAGAGATGATGGAAAAGGCTGTGAAATTCCTCACATTAATGGCTGGTGGCCAATTGTTTTTATGTGGACATTTAATGTTGGAATCATACATATATACTTCACTGTGAAAATTCAAATGTGGTTTCATTCACCTCTAGAGTATTTTGAAAAAATTTGAAACAACCAAAATGTGTATGATTTTAAAGCAGGGAACCTCATGGTTTCTCTAAAATTTCATGAAAGTGGCAGTTCTGATTGGTAACAAAATGAAATGTCATTATTGATAATGAAATGAAAATATCCAATTTTTATTGACTTAAGGTGGTTACCTTGACAACCTGAAGGCTAGTGACACAGAGACAATAAGGACTGAGGATTTTGAGAATACATTCAAGGAAGCACTTGTGTACCAGTCAGGTAAGCCAGAGTTACCTCCCTTCATATAACCATTGTACGATACTCGGATGCTTTTGTTTGTGTGAACATACTTGCTCATCCCTTCATTTTTGGAATTAGATAATAATGGATCAGTTTTGTCCTTAAGGCTGAAATAGCTAAAAATCTCCTGAAAATTGTAGTAAGTCTGCAAAGCCTGTACTTGTTTCTTATTACAACAGTTAAAAGGTTTTGGTGACAAGACTTTTGCTCAACTCACATCAAAAGCACCCTGTTTAGAGAAAGAATCTCATCACTTTAACCCTGCATATTTACATTGTAATACCTCGACAATAGCTTGTTATCAAAGTTCACTTAACTATCTCTGTTTAACCTGATACACATTTATATTGCTATGATATGTATACTAGAGCAAACATTTTACCCTTTCTTTTCTTGGAGTTATCTCCCTTTATATATATATATATATATATGTATATTTTTTTTTATTTAATCATAGTATCCAATAGATTTCTTTTTGTGGAAATCACTTTTTAAGCAATGTGTCAAAGATAAAGGTAAAATATATCCTTAACTTAAATTCAGTTAAGGAGAGATGTCATGAATATTGTATATATACATATAGTTGTATGACATTTGTAAGTAAAATGATCTCCAACAAAGTAGAATTAAATGGTAACATCAACTTATTTCGTGTCTTTATCCAAGGACCTGTTAAAGCTTGAGTGAATTTTGATATCATTATGTTTTTCATACCTGTATATAACATTGTATACACTCAAAATCTTGCTAAACTGAGATGTTGTCTTGGAAGTTGGAAGGTTTTGATTTCAATATGTGAATATATATACAGTATGTATATTGCTGACTAATTATACCTTCTAACTGCATGGTTTGTCAAAACCTAGCCTACTTATTCATAGAGATATTTTCTAATGATTAAAGCAAACAGATTTTGGTACATGATTTGTGTATATGTTATACCAGCCATAAATGGAAATAGTCAATTTTATTGTTGTTTTTGAAATATTGAAATTGGTGAAAATATTAGGGATGAAAAAATGAAACTCTCAGTGCATGTTTAGACCACAGTGACAGTGCTGTGACATGGTTGTGTTGGTCATTGGTCACTTATAGTTAGGAGTATCAAGACTAATAGAGATTTGTTAATAACACACAAACTAGGTAATAGATCATTATTTCATGTGTAGAAGGGAGATAATTTTTTTCTATGGTCTAAACCTCTGAATTTGATGTAATATGGTGTGTTTATTTCATTTGATAAACCATTAGATTATAGATCTGTCATAGAATTAAGAATTTATCATCATTGATTTAAACATATTTTATTATCATTGTTAGATAAATGGATCAGATTTATCATCATTAAAATGAAGATTTATCATTATTAAATTAAGATAAATAATCAATAGATTAAAGATACATCACCAGTAAGGTATATTGTAAATGAATGGAAGATACAGCAGAAATGAAAATAAACATGATTATATGATAATCGCCAGTGATTCAGTACTTAAGAATTTATGTTGATGCAAAATGTGTGTAACTATGGTAATATGCCAAGTGTAGATAGTTTGACATTTAACTCAAAATATCAATTATAGAGGATCACAATATCTTTATTATTATTTAAAGTTTTTTTTATCAAAGAAAATCATTGTAGATTTCTAGATTTTCTTTGTATAAAAATGATAGAAATATGTTTTTTTTAATACCTTGTTGCTCTCTATGCTATCATGATAAGAACTGGTTTATGTACACACAGAATAAACCTTTCCTTTTCACGTATTATTGGAGCATGTATTCAGTGATTTTATTATTTATGAAATAGAACTACATAAATTTGTCAGAAGAGTTATGTATTACTTGTGTATGACATTGACTTGTGATTACTTGTTGTTATGTAATACTGACCATGTATCTGTAGATCTGCATGCTGTTTGTGTAATACAATATACCTAATGTCTCTATACAACTTCTGCTTAGTTCTCACTGCAGTTGTAATTAACCTTGTTAAAACTGCAAACATTTCTATATCAGTGATATGGTTTTGTACCATTAATGATCGTGTTGAAGCTACTGTTTGTTTTCCTTTTATCAGCTACGATACATTATTACTATTACTACTATTGTAGTAATATTTCAAGGTTATTTTCTTAATTGAAACCTTACCTTATTTGGAAAATAGATTTTGTCATACAACAGTTATATGTCATCAGTATGTAATTTTATATGAAAATTAATATTATAATCATTGTATTATGGTTGTTATAGGGAAGAATAAATTCATTAAAACAATCTTTTCATGCTGAAATCTGATATAAATCTTATGAGTAAAATGGCAGAAAATCATATCACTGATATAAGTACATTGACAGTATGAGTATAATATAAGTATGTAAGTATTGAATTTGTACATGATCTGCAAAGACCTTTATTTCTGCTGGATGTTTTAGAATTATAATGGAAGCTACATCTGTTATCATTAAATGATCCACTGAAGTGGTAATAGACATCTTTTGAGTCAATATTAACTGAAGCACGTTTCAATATGATCAACATGTAATGTCATTGTGGATATTAAGGTTTTTGCAGTATATTTCATAATTCTTATGTAAAATACTGAAAACAAATATACTTTTTCTTTTATTAACCCATGCATGTAAGAGTTTCAATATATATGTGATCTTAATTGTGTACTGTAGATATGCATGAAATCTATAAACATATTGTAGCTCTTCTTTACCATATATATATATATGATCTATTAAAAAGTGTTTGATTTCACAAAAATGTTCAGTAACTTATCTTTAATAGATTCCTTAAACCTCTCATTAGATCCTTACTGTGTGCATATTAGTGGTGTGAGTGGGGAAATATGTGAAAATTGGATGTGAGTTATTCCCCATGGATAAAACCCTCCTTATATGCAGAGTTATTACCCTTTGATATAATCCTTCTTATATACAGAGATATTGCCCTTGGATATAACTCTCAATATATGTAGAGTTATTGCCCTTGGATATAAGTATCAATATATACAGAGGTATTTCCCTTTGTTTACCAAATGTCACCATGGACATTTCTTGTATACTTTCACCTGTAATTAGCAAATTTTGTATGGAAGTACCTCTTAGAGTGGTAAATTCTTACAACCTAATATTGAATCACATTGCCCATGATAAAATATATGGTCCTTATTTTTTGATACAAGAGTTTGGCCGAGGGGTATGGGACTGTTGATTGCCTCTCCTGATTCTTGGTTCGACCTAATTGGATATTTTTTGGCCTGGACATCTGATGCAAAAAAAAGAAAAAAATTAATACAGACTAGAAAAATTGTGAAACCTGTCTAAACAGCAGTGTTTATCTTAAGAAAAAAAATTACAAACTAAACACATCTCATTGTATACATAGTAAGGATTATGTAAAACTAGCATGTACTGTCTCGTCTCGAATGCTGTATCAAGTTAGCCCTACATTTTACTTGTACTTTTAACTTATATCGTTTGAAATTCCAGCAAAAATGATAAGTTACCTTGATTTTCTATGTAGAAGTGTTTGACTAGATAAAAACAAAATTCTTTCACAATTAATTGTGTAAGAAAATAAAGACGTTGGAAATATGGTAATAAACAAACCAATGTTGGACTGCCAGTGTAACTGTACTATGTCTTATTGAATGTTGATGGAAAATTAATTAATCACCATGTCTCGGTCAGACTCCGACACACTGGAAAATATGTCTGACGAAGACAGCGATAATGTGTCCGGTAAACTGACCGACAGTGGAGCCGAGACTCCGACCAAGGCTGACCTCTCCTGGGATTACTATGACACTGACCAGTCGAAAGGTGGGCCCTAAATCTGTTGTCCAGTGACTTCTACAGCTGAAATGCTCAATTTTAATTTTTTCATTTTAATTTCTTTCATGTTGAATGATGTTTTTAGTTATGTATTTGAAGTGTTTATAAATGTTTATCAATATGGTCAAGATCTGTCTGGGATTTGGTTCCTTTTATTTTTGTGTCTATCATTGTTGTATGAGGGTTATTTTAAGAAATGTAATTTTACCAGTTAATTAATGAAAGATCTGAATTATGATAAAAAAGTGAAAAACTTAAAAAAGGAAGTTTTTGTCTGAAAATGGACTAGAGTATCTTTAAAAGTAATGCTACTTAAAAGTGGTCAATCAAATTTTTATTTTTTAGTTGAATGTGATATACAAAAATGTCAGATTTCTTCAAACTTAGAAATATATCACACATCAGAATGCATGCTGTGTTCATAGGCTTGGAATGTTTTTGTGTGCTGTGTGTTACATATATCGTAAACATATCAGTTATAATCAGAAGCTATGAACATTTGGAATATCATTTATATTGTGTTTAGCAGTTTAGTGATAATTTGACGTAGAAATGATAAAACAAAAGCTTTTAGTACAAGATTACATATATATATGCATCAGTTTACAGACAATTAGATATACAGCATCTTAGTTTTTGTGAGTGAATCAGTCTGTGTATCAATTTTTACTTACTTTTGCATTTGATGTAGATTTTAGCAAATTTGATTCTTAATCAGAGTTTCATGATTCATTCATTAACACTTTCATCATCACGTTTTGGTTTTAATTAGATTGGATTGATATTAATTATTATTAATGTCTAACACATGGAGTTATCTCCCTGTAACTGCATTCAAATCTACATGGAAAGGAGTCATTGTTTACCATGGGACAGACTGCATTCAAAACGGCAATGATGATAATATGAGCCTCACAAATGGAAAATTGTCTATTGTAGTTGCTTTTATTTTGAATTCATGTCTTGGTTCAGTTAATGAATTATATTTACATGTATGTGTCAAAATTTTTGATATACGCTTTGGTATTGCAATATAAATCATTGATTTATTTTTATTTTTTCTAATTTGTTCTTTTAAAAAAAAATTTTTGTTTCTTTCTTTAGTGAATAGTCACATAAAAGTTCATAAATTATTTTATGAAATCAATTTTTTAATGGGAGGCACAGAATCCATCAGTATAAATATTCTAAATATCCTCAGCTCATCAGCAAGAGTCCATTTGGAGATGTCTTTGGTAGCTGTTAAGTGTTATCCTTCTTGGTCTTTAATGTTTATGTTTACAAATGATTCAAAATCACTTAAACAGCACCAACATAAAAACTCTTGAGTTAAGTTCAACATGTATATTGATATGACATGCATGTCAGGAAAAAAAATTACAGTGATAATATATACAATGTATAACAAAATGGCATAAATTTAAGAGAATATTGTTTTTATTTAAACCAAGATATTTATAAATAACTTAGACATCAGCTGATGAGAGTCTAATATTTACAAACAGCCAATAGAAACACTGATGGTGAAGAAAGAGTGTTCGAACGACCCCTCTCTCCATCTGGACTCTCTCAGAACAGAACTCCATCACAGCCACTTCCTTACCCATCTGATCCTCCCAGGAATGGAACCTTGTCCCAGTCTAAAACTGTACGACAGACTGAAAACAGACTGAGCTCACAGCCCAGAGGTAAGATGTAGCCAGGGACAAAACCATAAAGGATTGAGCAAATTTTACACTATGTGAATTTACTTCTTTCCTTTAAATTTTTGGAAATATTCCTGTTGGTGTAGATTGTAATCCCTGGAATTGTGAGGATAAGAACTTCTGAAGTCAGTTTTAATCAAGATCATCATTATTCATGGAAAATTGTCAACTAAATCAATATTGTCACTTAAGCATCTCATTTCTTCTTAGGTTTTGTACAAATATTATACACATGTAAAGTATGGGAAAGTCTTGTTTGGTTTACTTTATAAGGATTCCAAATTCAAAGTATTGTAGAAACATGGAAAATTGTGATCACTTCTGCAGCTTGTCTTCTCAAATCTGGATGAAATTTTCCTATTGACTCATGTTTCAGGGTAATATGGATTTTCACTAACATTGATTGTTGTTATTCAATAAAACAGGTTTGAATTAACATAGGGGGGATATTTTGTGTTCCAGACACTCAACAGTTATATACCATGGTAAACAGTCTAGAAAATAGACCTTACCTATTTGATTTAATTAATTATCTTTTGTAAGGTACAGAAAGACAGTCAACTTTTCATGGATCAAAGTCATCACCAAGACGACAAGCTAGTTATTCCAGGAGAAAACTTGGCAACATCAGTGACGCAGACTCTATCAAGACAGAGGATTTTGAAGTCAAATTTCAGGAACTTGTTTTTCGACCTTCAGCTGAAAGTGAGACTGACCATACAGAAAATGACCCTCTACATGCCAAAGTCAAGGAGATTCTCAAGGTCACTGCTCCATGTAAGTCCTATTTCATATACAATTAAAGTAGATTTAAATAGAGTGTTTCAGATATAACAATATTGAAGTGGTTGAAGTTACAAAGGATCTTAACAAGGATTAATTATCATGATCCTACTACATCACCTCTACAGCTGGAACACTATGTAACCAGTAGCTTTGTTGTATATTGATCTGTCAGATTTGTAAGACAATATCATTGTGTGTCACTCATGATTAAGTGCCTGGTTTGAGTTTAGAAGCCTTATTTATGACACATGAGAGACTTTGACTTTTCTTGCTGATTATATATGATATATTATCACAACTAACACTGTAGTGATGCTGCTGAAGGGACAAATCAAATGGTTGGGTAAGTTATCTCCCCTTACTGACTCAGTGTCCGAGATGCTGTGGGTTTGTTGAACCTCGTGGTTACACACATGTCTAACTGTCCCTCTTGTCATTGTCACGTGTGCTTTTATTAAGGTGTTACTTGATCTCCTCTCAGCAAAGCTGAATTTCTTAACCTTCTGGACACAGGAGCTGAAGTGGTCTCCACCAAGTTTGTCACTTTTAAAAAAAAGACAAGTTTTTCACAGCAATTAACCAACACTACAAGCTGCCACCATCTTATCACAGTGTCTAAACCCCTCCCCTCTCCCCACCTCCATAAAGGAAATTATTAATTACTGTAAGTTGATGTAGGTAAGCATTGATTGATTGGCCTGAAACAGAATGTCCTTTACACATCTTGAAATGGTTTTTTGTCTAGGATTGGCAGGAATCATTTGCATAATACAATGTGAATATATCATACCGTAGACTTGGTGACATTCACTATTATTAGAGATAAGATTCACTGTAAATGAGACTGCATACCTGTAGACATGCCTGATTACTGTGACAGTTACAAAACATAATCCCTTTGAACTATCTTTAATGAGACAAACTGAACTAATAACCAAGCCAAATTAAGCAACTGAACATGACTGAGAAGTAAATATAAAGTACCATTTTTTAAATTTTCAATCACGTCACAGTGAGTGGGATATTGATTGGATATTCATTTTCTATGATATACTGGCTGCACACAGAGAAACAGTTTATACCATTTTTATCATATTACCCAGTAATTATGACTTTCTGAGCTATAAATAAGACAACTTCTAGATTTGTGTAAATTATGATTAATTTATGAAGTAATGTTACATTATAACAATTACAAACAATATATAATTAATGTAGATATGTAAATTGTCTATAATACCTAAGTGTTTTCCCTACCAATCTGTTCACGATAAAATACTACCTTTCTAAAATGACGAATATAAATATGTTTGAATATAATCATGTATAGTTTTCTAAGTCATTTTGTTATATCATGTTGCCTCAAAAAGTAATCTGATCTAAAACAAGTCGCTCCACAATTTATTTCCATAATCTATAAATTTTAAGAGCTCACCTGTGGAACTCAGTACAGATTGAAATGAATGAATTGTAAGGAAAACATCTAAGATAAAGTTTAATTCTGAGTTATCCAATATTTATATACAATAACATCTACATCTATACGGACAGGAATGTTCTTGCTATTCTATATTGATGTAATTCTTATAATTTTGAACGTCAATAGTAGCCAAGACATTTTAGTGTTAAACGTAAATCGTGAGAGATCGTAAAGAAATGATAAACATATAGATCATTGAAATACAAATCCTTCAAAACTTCTTCTTTACGTACATATGTAGAAAAAACATGGCACAGGTTCCTAGGAGATCAGTGATACGTATGGCAGTGAAATGAGAGAAAAATATATATACCTTCAGATTTTAAATTACAATATTTTAGTGCTTTCAAAACAATCAGTATCCTGTGCCTATGTATAGTATGTATATACATACTGAGTCATTGGATTCTGAAAAAAGAATAGTTCCAAAGAGAGACATATTATATGTCATAATCTGGATGACATTGACTAGAAATGAAGGTGACTATTGGAGGTCCACTGTTCTATTGTAATGTGTAACGATTATAGGATTACATTTATGGAAGTTAGCAAGGGGAGACAACTGGTTTACTATAAAAATTCTGGGATTATGTTTTTGGAAGTTAGCAAGGGGAGACAACTGTTGATACTTTTATAATCTTTCCAGAGTAGAACATCCACAACAGTTTCTGAGTTTGAGTTCACTGATTTATTACACTTGTCAATGTGTTTGCCCTGTTCAGGCTTCATCAGGATGGATTACACAAATTTTTACACCCTAACTTTTCTATAGATAGTACTACTTCACCACTTAACATTCGTTATTATGAGGTCCCGCCATACACTTTTATTGAAATAACTCTTACGATACTGCACATTTCATTAAGTAATCGTATATATTTCTAATATTGTATCCATAATGTACATATTCCTATAATATACCATACCAATTTCCCGTCACGGTTGATAAATCTTTACTGATATCATGGCTCTGAGATTATTTTTAATAATGTTTATTATGACATAATGTCTGAGGGTTTTCTGTCTATAATTCAACAGTCTATAATCCTGTACCACTTCCACCTTCCCTGCCTCCTATGTACCAGTTCCTATGTAATCAGAGATTCCAAGTCACTGAGCCCAAGATCTTCATTTTCATTGCTTTGTCAAGGACTGGTCATGACTTATCTGTGGGACCCTCGCCAATAAGTTATCCCAAATAATCCAGAATTTCACCCTGTTCAGTTGCTGCGTAGTTAAGGCCTTAAACAGTCTTTTCGACTATGGTTTTATTGCATCATAACTTGTATTATCGTTAAAAATATCCGGCTCTGACTCTTAAAATGTAGTATGAAAACTCCTTATTAGGTTTGTTAAATAATTTGCTACCCAGGCTTCTGTCTGGTAGTACGTAAATAGTAGTGTCTAGGAAGTTTACTTCTCCGTCACTGACTTGAAACGCAGACTTAATCGTGGAATGGTATGTGTTAATAGCTTCACAAAAAGGAGATTAAAATCCCTTTTGAGTGTGTCCAAATGAAGAAAATGTCATCAATAAATCTGCCTCAGACTAAAGGTACCAATACCTGTGACCTTGAGAATTTTCCATCTTTATTGTCAAGGAATACACTATCTTAGTACTGGTGCAGCATGGTACTGTGAAGCATTGGGAAACGAACCAGGGTCAAAAATGGTGAAATGACCTCCCCCTCCTCCCTCCATGGTAAAGTGAAGCCACTTTATTTTTTGTTTTCAATTGATGTTTCATCACTTAATTTCCTATCACTTTGGTAATTAAATTCCTCCCAACATAATAAAACTGAAAAATAACAAGGGTAGGGAAATTTAGGGTGGAGCAGGGCCATGGTAAAGTGAAACATTTCAATATTTTCTTACTAATACAGATAGTAAAATTAAGAGGGGAACAACTCTCTCTTTCTGGAAACTAAAGGGAGTTAACACTGCAATATCTGTAGGATTCTCTGCTGTTTGAAACATCCTTTTCCTGGGATTTTTCTTAAGATGACAATTACCAAGAGACTCATGTTAGTTTCTCTTACTCAGAATTTTCTTTACAAATTAATTATATTAATTTGAATTTTTACTTTCTTTATTTTACAGATATTTTTTCTGAATATTTTGGTCTATAGGAAATGTTTGGGATCTCAGAATGGTATCTTAATCAATATTTTGTTGATTTTCAGACCGACAGAAGAAAGAAAAGAAACCTAATGGTCGTGTGAAGATAGATGAACAATTATCACAGAAGACTTCTCTGAAAAGGTAGAATACTTTTCTACTTAGAAATATAGAAATTTGAAGATGATCCTTCAATAATATTTATAATTATAAGTGGAAAGGGTTTCATATACAATGTACACACATAAGTCACTGAATGAAATCATGTGACATAGACCCCACAAACAAATACAGCACTAACAGGTTGTTTATTTGACATCACTTGTCTTATTACATAGGGCTGAATAAATAGGAAGAATAAAACAAGTGACAAATTTATTATAGCAACAGACTCACTAGGTTTACATGCATTCATGTATATATTTTGTTGTCCTCATATTTCTTGGAATATACCAGATGTAAAATTTAGCAAGGGTTTAGATCTCCAGAAGAATCAATATGTAGGATAAGGCTATGAAACTATTATCTCTTTTGTCCTTCAACAAGTAATCTGACAACCCGTCAATTATTTCCTACACCTGCGTCAACAACATTACCAGGTAGCTGACTATTGAATTTACACTGCATCAGCAACTGAAAAGCATCACAAACCTTTAGTCAAGTTATCCTGTAAACTGTTAACAGGTACCAGTTATATGGACAGATTGCTTACAGGTACTCTGTATTTCAACAATTTTATACTAGAACAAATGTTTTTCTATTTCTTCCTGTTGTGTTGAATATTAATATGACAATCCCTGAGGTTAGAATCAGTTTCATATTACAGATGAAAATGATGGTGAAAGGATGTGTAGACAATAATGCACAGATATTTTGTGAGTAATACACAGGTGTGCAGACTAAAGTATATACTGATGAACAGGTGTGCAGAAAAAAATCACATAAGTGTGTGGACATTTGTACACAGGTGTGCAGACAAAAATACACAGGTGTGCAGAAAAAAAGTACATAAGTTTGTGGACATTGGTACACACGTGTGCAGACAAAAATACACAGGTGTGCAGAAAAAAAGTACATAAGTTTGTGGATATTGGTACACAGGTGTGCAGACAAAAATACACAGGTGTGCAGAAAAAAAGTACATAAGTTTGTGGATATTGGTACACAGGTGTGCAGACAAAAATACACAGGTGTGTAGATGATAATTCACAAGTGTGTAGAAAACTCTAGGAGAAAAGAATGGATTTTTGGGGAGAATGTATTGATGCTATTGCAATACTGAAGATTTTTTGGAGAAAATAACATTTCATGGTTGTGTGGAATTTAACATATAAAATAAAACCCTGTGCAATGGCATGGTGAGGATAATGAATATATAAGAATAAAAAAAACAGAAAAGACAGAAATGCAAATATCTAGCAGTAAGACAATGCCCAGAGAAATAACATTCTGTATATAATTAGGTATTTATTTAAATTACAAACAAAACATGAACTTTACCTTATAGACTGGCAGTGATACATGTACATGTATAGGGTAAAGACAAGGAGCATGCAGCAAAAATTCATATTGAGAATAAAATATCTTGATTTAAGTATCTTCTTAATAACACCTGTGATAAAAAAAGGCTTGAACAATCTACATTCTTATTAAATTAAATCTACAGTAGGACTTAAACTGTTCAACTTCAAAATTAAATCTACAGTAGGACTTAAACTGTTCAACTTCAAAATTAAATCTACAGTAGGACTTCAACTGTTCAACTTCAAAATTAAATCTACAGTAGGACTTCAACTGTTCAACTTCAAAATTAAATCTACAGTAGGACAAACTGTTCAACTTCAAAATTAAATCTACAGTAGGACTTCAACTGTTCAACTTCAAAATTAAATCTACAGTAGGACAAACTGTTCAACTTCAAAATTAAATCTACAGTAGGACTTCAACTGTTCAACTTCAAAATTAAATCTACAGTAGGACTTCAACTGTTCAACTTCAAAATTAAATCTACAGTAGGACAAACTGTTCAACTTCAAAATTAAATCTACAGTAGGACAAACTGTTCAACTTCAAAATTAAATCTACAGTAGGACTTCAACTGTTCAACTTCAAAATTAAATCTACAGTAGGACAAACTGTTCAACTTCAAAATTAAATCTACAGTAGGACTTCAACTGTTCAACTTCAAAATTAAATCTACAGTAGGACTTCAACTGTTCAACTTCAAGAATTAGGAAATGTCATAATGAATGTTATGTGAGAAGGGAGGATATCAAAAATGGCATCGTGATGTAGAGGGAACAAACATCTAATGACATCTGGAATTCTCTGTCAAAATCAATTTAGTTGTTCGTGCAGAATGAAATGGAGAAAACATCGAGAGAAGAATATGGATATGAAACAACTAGCATCATTAAAGGTAAGTTATTAAAATTTTATCTCCTTTAAGTGTTTTATGAAGGTGGCATATGGATGTAAAAATATGCATGCATACATTTTTTTTTTTTCAATTTTTTGTTATGAGGGGTACAAAACAAGTATATGCGTATGTAAGGATAAAAGTATTGGTATATATACTTCAAATAGATCAGACTCTCCCTTATACAAAATTAAGTCCCCTTCTCCCTAGAGCACATTTTATCAAACAAATTTAATTTGTAAAAAAGACAGACTTTTAAGATTTACTTTCACTTCTTCTCCTGGCCAATGCCCTCAGAGGGAATCAGATCCTCCAACTATCATAAAATCGGCAAGGTTCACCCAAGGATGCTCCAGACCGAAGTCACTCAAAACCCACACCAGTATTCAGGGGAAAAATTCTGTTGATAAAGAGACAGTAGGTGTAGCACCATGATATAATCTCTTTGTCCTTGGACCAGGAAAGCTTAAAATTATTCATCAACTTTGGTAACTCTTTTGATGCATAATTGATATCAGTACTGAACTAGAACTGATCACAGGGTGTCTTCCATTTGTATTTTAATGTCGCTAAAGGAAAAAAGGCTTTAGTCTGGAAAATGTTGATAATTTAGGATTCTGCATACTCTTAAACATTACGGTACGATAATAGGATCTTATATTTACAGATGTTTCTCATGTAATATGAGACTTACCACCAATATACAGGTATTTCTCTTGTAATATGAGACTTACCACCAATATACAGGTATTTCTCTTGTAATATGAAACTTACCACAAATTTACAGGTATTTCTCATGTAATATGAGACTTACCACCAATATACAGGTATTTCTCTTGTAATATGAGACTTACCACCAATATACAGGTATTTCTCTTGTAATATGAGACTTACCACAAATTTACAGGTATTTCTCATGTAATATGAGACTTACCACCAATATACAGGTATTTTTCATGTAATATGAGACTTACCACAAATTTACAGGTATTTCTCAAGTAATATGAGACTTACCACAAATTTACAGGTATTTCTCATGTAATATGAGACTTACCACAAATTTACAGGTATTTCTCATGTAATATGAGACTTACCACCAATATACAGGTATTTCTCATGTAATATGAGACTTACCACCAATATACAGGTATTTCTCATGTAATATGAGACTTACCACCAATATACAGGTATTTCTCATGTAATATGAGACTTACCACCAATATACAGGTATTTCTCTTGTAATATGAGACTTACCACCAATATACAGGTATTTCTCTTGTAATATGAGACTTACCACCAATATACAGGTATTTCTCATGTAATATGAGACTTACCACCAATATACAGGTATTTCTCATGTAATATGAGACTTACCACCAATATACAGGAATTTCTCTTGTAATATGAGACTTACCACCAATATACAGGTATTTCTCATGTAATATGAGACTTACCACAAATTTACAGGTATTTCCCATGTAATATGAGACTTACCACAAATTTACAGGTATTTCTCATGTAATATGAGACTTACCACCAATATACAGGTATTTCTCTTGTAATATGAGACTTACCACCAATATACAGGTATTTCTCATGTAATATGAGACTTACCACCAATATACAGGTATTTCTCATGTAATATGAGACTTACCACCAATATACAGGTATTTCGCATGTAATATGAGATTTACCGCAAATTTACAGGTATTTCTCATGAAATATGAGACTTACCGCCAATATACACGTATTTCTCATGTAATATGAGACTTACCACCAATATACAGGTATTTCTCATGTAATATGAGACTTACCACCAATATACAGGTATTTCTCATGTAATATGAGACTTACCACCAATATACAGGTATTTCTCATGTAATATGAGATTTACCACAAATTTACAGGTATTTCTCATGAAATATGAGACTTACCGCCAATATACAGGTATTTCTCTTGTAATATGAGACTTACCACCAATATACAGGTATTTCTCATGTAATACGAGACTTACCACAAATTTACAAGTACTTGTCTTGTAATACGAGACTCACAACAAATTTGTGGTTCTGCTGTAGTTCACTGTGAAGACAGTATTATGATTTTAGGAGTTGATAAACATAAAGCTACAATTATGATGGCTGCTAAGGAGTAAAATGTCTCCATGGCAACAAAAGATAAGTCCTGGTGACCAGACATCAGTCTTATTCTTCTGCTGCAGTGAACTGTCATCAAACAAAGAGGCTGATTTGTGTAGTTTAGAACTGCAGGCTTACAAGCTAACAGGTAGCTTAGCAACAGAACAGGTAGACAAGAGAACAGCTATTTATAGTAGTATGGTGTTAGTCCAACATGGTTGTCACGGAGATTGTATCAGTAGTGTGGTGTCAGAAGGATGAATACTGTGATGATATGATGAGTTAAGCCTTTATAATACCCAACAAAAATGTAAGTGTATGAAAGTATAATTTGTGTAACACAAGTAAGGGTTGATAATCACACGTCATTAGTATGTATAGAAGACAGCATGTCTTGTGAATCTGGTATACATATGTATTTAATAGTGTGTAGCCTTTGTTGAGTAAATAGTGGTGAAGCAACTGCCAGTCATTCCATTAAATAAACCATCATGTAATTCATATCTGATTGTAGGAGTTAAAATTTGCTTTATTGACCCATTCATATTAATTGTTACAATTAGTGGTACATGTGTAGTATATGCACA